GGCCACCGAGCCACCTCAGGGTGGCGTGGCTCGGCTTGGGCCGAGCCCCTCTAGGTGGTGGGTTTGGTTGTTTTCCGTCTTTCTGTCTTGTCCGTGATTCGGTTGTACGATTGATTGACTCGTTGACCTGATTTGGCAGTAAATCTGGATCCTGATTAGGCAGTAAATCCACTTCTGAGTTCGAGTCCGAAACCGATCTTGATTCGATCGTGATTCGTCCGAGTATGCCCTTGGTTGGATGACTCGTTGATTCTTTGACACTTGGCTTGATTCCGAACGCGTATGGATGCATTCCGTCGCTTGCGTACGATTCGTCGAACTCGTCGCCTCGTTGGTTCATCGGTTTATGCCGAACTGTGCTAAGGGACCTATAAGCAATTTTATATGCCTACACTTAGATGATAGTACAGACAGTGGATATGATAAAGACAATACGGGAGCGCCTTAAATCAGCTCAGGATAGACAGAAAGAGCTGGGCTGATGCTAAAAGGAGACCTCTACAGTTTTAGGTTGGAGAGCATGTTTTCTTGAGGATATCCCCAACTAGAGGAGTTATCAGATTTGGCAGCCGCAGGAAGCTTAGTCCACGTTTCATTGGTCCTTTTGAGATATTGGAGAGAGTAGAAGAGGTGGCATACATGCTACCTTTGCCTCCGTCGTTGGATGGAGTGCATGATGTGTTCCACGTATCACAACTACGACGATATGTGCGGGATGAGACCCATGTCCTAGACATCGAGCTTCAGATTAGGACGAATTTATCATATGAGGAGCGACCGATGAAGATCTTGGATCGACAGGAGAAGGTCCTCAAGAACAGAACTATCCCACTTGTCTTAATATCTTGGGGACATCATGGACCTAGTGAGGCAACCTGGGAGCGAGAGGATGACATTTGTCAACGCTATCCGCATCTCTTTGCTACAGGTGACTTTTAGTTTTTATTATGGTCGGATAAATTTCGAGGACGAAATTTCTTTTTCTTAGGTAGGTAGGATGTAATAATTCATTTATTTTATTTTATTTTGCCAATCAATTATGTTAGAGGCCCACATGATGAAGGGAAAAATAAATAAATAAATAAAAACAAAAGACACAAAGTGCCCATTAGTGTTAACTTAGTAAAGCCCATACACAACTCCCTCTCACACCCTTGTTCATCTATTCACGGGTGAAAAATCATGAGATTTTGGTTTAGGTGATATAATACCTAACAAAACCCCTTAATCTCCTCTAATCTTTACTAACAAACCTAACTAACCCCATGATCTCCACTTATCCTCACTAACACACCCAACAACCCCTTTAAAAAAAACCCACCCCTCTTCATTTTTTCCATATCACGGAAACCAGAGAAGGGAAGTCCAAAAAAAAATAAAAAAATAAAAAAAAATAAAGAGAGAGAGACAGAGAGAGACAGAGAGAGAGAGAGAACGTAGGGCCGGAACGTGTTTGAAAAATGGGGGATTTTTTCTTGCTTCGGAGTTTCACACGAATTTGGGCAAGCATTCTTTTCCTCAAATCTTATTATTTTTATTACTTTTGTTTTTTGTTTTTTTCATGCGAGTATCCTTTCCTCAATTATTATGTTTATTATCATTATTATTTGGATTTCCTTCATGCAAGCATCTCTTCCCCCAATTAATTTATGTATATGTATATATTTAGCTTATGCTTCCTGCAATACTATTTTTCCCCCATTCTAGTTCATAGAAATAACTAATAGAATTCAAGTTTAAAATTATTAGAAGATAACAAATTTTTTCTCATTTATTTATTTTATGTTCCTCCCCATGATCTTATCATTTTATTAATATGAGTATTATAAATTTCACATAATTTTTCGTACAAATCAGAAGATAACAATTTTGACTTATATAAAATATATAAATTTCTTTTATTTAACTTGGAAGTATTTATTTAGGATCTTAACTGAAAATCGAAGTTTATTTATTATCTACATCAGTTATGAAAATGAAAGTTAAACAGGTTGTAGTTGTTAGTTGCTTGGACAATGACACACGGGTCCCTAGTTCAAATCCTGGACTCTTCAAATTTTTTTCATAAATAAGTGTATTGATTCGGTTTTAACACAAACCTGTACATTTCTGTATTATTATGGCCGTAGATGCAAGTTGGTGTTGTGGTCAGCTGCTTTGGATTGTAACTCCTAGGTCTGGAGTTCAAACCCCCTAGCCGCCAAAAACTTTTATTTTTGTTGTTGAGCCTGAGTTCTTTGTGGGCCTTGATTTTTTTTTAGAGTTTTTAAAGAATGTGAGGTTGCCAACAGAAGAAGGGATGATGCCGGTTTTGGGTGCAGGGTTAGGATTAGTAGATGGCTATGCTCTCGATATCGATATCCCGATATGAGATTTTTCCTTGGCTATTACTATTATAGCATCGATTAGACGATGCACCCCTCTTGATTTGGACATGTTCTGGGTCACGGTTATCTTTCATAGTTTTACGGAAGCTGTTCCACGGTAACTCTGTTGTTAGTGCACAACATTTCATGCACAGTCACTTAGATTAAATAGAAAAACATGGGGTTTATAAAAGGGGAATTAGACAGAGAATATAACATGCATATACGCGGGCTTGTGCGCATTCTTGATATCTTGGTATATATATATGTATGAAATAAGGGCCCATCCTGACTTGAAACCGTGTTCCCGGGACGGTTTACGGGAAACCGACATATATACATGAAATATTCTTTTCTAATTCAAATAACATCTAAAATAATAATAATGTGCTTGTGTGTCTTACGATTGACCTTGGTTGATACCTATTATCAGTATTTTTTTCCATCTTTAATTGAGTTTTCATTTTTTTTATACATGCCACATTACACTTACACGCGCATATTTCCTTCATTTTTCATGCTTGTTGGGAGTTTTCTGACTCCCCTGGGGTTTGCGTGCCCCAGATTCGGGAACCGTTCTTTCTTTGCAGAATCGAGAATACTTCAAGGGGTAGGCTCATCAGTAGTGATTACCATTCATTCTATTAGTTATCCAGTTCAGTTGATTTAGGTAGTTATTTGGTTTAGGCTTCTCTTTAGCCACATGTGCCTCTCCAGACTATAGTGTATTTTTTCCTTTCTCTTTAGATAAATTGTGGACTTGATATAGAATTATGAAAATTTCCGATATTTCTTTATCTATACACTCCTTTTATTATCTTGGTACATGCTCTTTGGTATAGTCTTGTCTCTATATCTGTACACAAGATGATCTAGAGGCGTGAATGTGACCGTATGGTTGCATTGCCGGCCGAGTCACGTTCCAAACTATTACATTTTGGAACCGGGGCGTGACACAATTTCACCTTTATGTCTCTGCTTCAGTATTGTTGTGTGGTTCACTTTACCGTAAAAGTAACCTTTTCTAGATTGGCTTTCAGAAAGAAGTTCTAATTACGGCAAATCAAATTCTAGAACAAGCAAATCTAGATCGGGAAAGAAATATTTTAAGTGCTATAATTGTGGCAAGAAGGGTCATATCAATAGGGAGTGTCGGCATCAAAGAAAAATACCGGCGCACAGGAGTCTGCCAACGTGACCCAAGAAGGAGGTAATGCTATGATTCTAAGCGTCAACGGTCCGATTGAATCATGGATTCCTAATTTAGGTGCATCCTACGATGCCACCCCTTGCCGGGGAATCATGGAGAACTACGTCAGCGGTGATATCGAAAAGATACATCTAGCAGATGATGAAACCTTGAAGATCGTTGGTAAGGGAGACATCCGATTAAAATTGCCAAATCAGACCACATGGAAACTTCAAGGAGTGAGACATATTCCTGGCCTTAAAAGAAATTTGATCTCCGTAGGACAGCTTGATGGAGAGGGTTATTGTATAACTTTCTCAGGTCATGAATGGAAGATTACCAAAGGAGCACTCGTCATTGCTCGAGGTAAGAAAAGTTGTACTCTCTATCTAACCTCTAACCTAGAGAATATTATTGCAGTAACAGATGCAGATGAAAAATCAAACCTATGGCACTAAAGGCTTGGCCATATGAGCGAGAAATAGATGAAGACACTTCTGTCAAAAGGGAAGCTGCCGGATCTGAAGAATGTGGATGTTGGCCTATGCGAGGATTGCATCTTTGGCAAACAGAAGAAAGTCAGTTTTGTAAAGATTAGCAAGACACCCAAGGCAAAAAAGTTAGAGTTGGTTCATACCGATGTATGGGGGCCATCTCCAGTTTCATCTCTTGCAGGTTCACTGTATTATGTCACCTTCATTGATGATTCTACAAGGAATGTGTGGGTCTATTTTCTGAAGAAGAAATCAGAAGTCTTTGATACCTTCAGGAAATGGAAGGCCATGGTGGAAAATGAAACTGGTTTGAAGATAAAGCGGTTAAGGTCATACAATGGAGGAGAGTACAAAGATAGTAGATTCAAAGAATTTTGCGCAAACAACGGGATCAAGATGGAGAAAACTGTTCCCATGACACCGCAGCAGAATGGTGTAGCGGAACGCATGAATAGAACTTTGAATGAACGTGCCAGAAGCATGAGGATACAGAACTTTGAATGAACGTGCCAGAAGCATGAGGATACATGCCGGCTTGCCCAAGTTCCTATGGGCTGAAACTATCAATATCGTAGCCTACCTAATCAACCGCGGTCCCTCAGCTCCCTTGGATGGTGGAATACCGGATGAAGCGTGGAGCAGAAAAGAGGTAAACCTTTCGCATTTAAGAATTTTTTGGTTGTATCTCTTATGTACACATAGATTCTGCTGAAAGAAGTAAACTTGATGCCAAATCTAACAAATGTGTTTTTGTTGGTTATGGTGGTGGTGAGTTCGGTTACCAGTTTTGGGATTATAAAAATCGGAAGATCATCAGAAGCAGAGATGTCATATTCAATGAGAATGTGATGTACAAAGACAGATCAATTGCAGAATCAAGTAGCTCCAATACAAAAGTTAAAACAAAAGAATTTGTTGAATTTGAGGAGATTTCTGAATATGACGTTCAGACTAGTCCTGAAGTAGTTCCCCAACAGGAATCTATCAGCAAAAACAAAGATGATAAACTGAAAAGTTCAGACTAGTCCTGAAGTAGTTCCCCAACAGGAATCTATCAGCAAAAACAAAGATGATAAACTGAAAAACCAATTAATTAGGCTATTAATTTGTGGAGAAGGTTGGCACTTGCAACATAATGAATATTAAGTGCAAATGCAAATTGAAACTTCCACACAAATATGTTTAACAATATTATGTGGAACAAAGTGATTGCAGGCCGGTAACATCTCTTAACAATTTTAAAGAGAGTAAACAACATGAGAAAATTCTATCCATAAGTGGGTTTCAACCCAGATTTGGCTACAAGACGACTTACTTTAACATAAGTCAAACTGACAAATAATTAGAAATGGAAAAAGGACAGAATTAAGAGATAAGACGGTTACACAATACATTCTAGTAGAGAAAGTAGAAAAAAAGTTATACTTGAAATTTGCCACTAATATCAGCTTAGGCATCTTTTAGTTTCACAAAACGAATTTAGGTGGGAAGTTTGAGATAAGATGGGTGTACAACATATTCTAGGAATCTAGAAGAAAAATTAGGGAAAAGAGTCGTGTTAAAGGAGCATCTTGGGAATTTTTTTAATTTTAGAAAGAAGCAAAAAATCCAATAATTAATCTTTGAGAAGAAACAGATGGTAAGTAGTATTGACCTCCCATTCCTGCCTACCTGTGCAATCAACTGGTTCGTCAAACCAAGCAGTCATCTTGAATAGTTATAAGTATAGACATTGGACCATTCTATTAAATCACACTTCTCAACTATCGTAATATGCTATTTAAGAACAATGCAACAAGAGAAAAATGGAAGGATTGACATCTCAGACATTAGATGAGAAGATCTGCAACAAACAAGCCGAACGTAAACCAAGTCAAGTTTTTATAATGACACGCGTAAGGGCATTTACAACAAGATTATTCTACTGAATTGGGACATTGCATAAGAACAAGAAAGTTTTATCCTTTGTATACAAGAAACCTCGACAAAAGTATGTGTCAGCGTGATGTGCACAATAACTGAATGTTTTACAGTAATAAATATTTATATCGTAATTTCATCACTAAACTTATAGTTTCCTATTGCAATGTAGCCAAATTTCCCAGAGTAACAATTCCACGTTACAGGTGAAAGTTACATATACTGTAAAAATCAAAAGAGCCCTAAAGTCTTCAATACGCAACACCTTACCTTGTCATTAACATCGCAAAACTTCAACCTTTCAGTGAAAATCGAATCCCCGTTACTAACTTTAAACTGGTGCGAACCAATCTATAATAAACACAAACAATACAGTGAAAATCGAATCCCCGTTACTAACTTTAAACTGGTGCGAACCAATCTATAATAAACACAAACAATACATTCCCAAAGACAAAACCTTGTAAAGTTTTAAAACCAAAATAAAGTCAAAAGTCATAGACCTGGACAATAGCAAAAACAGGCTCCCAAGGTTTAAACGGCCGCTCTGAAGGATCAAGCGGCCCAATCACTTTGTACCCGATATCAGCAGCCGCGTTTGCTTTCTCCTCCACAGATTTCCCACTCGCTCGAAATGTCTTCACCGATCCATTGCAGCTCTCATCGCCTTCATCATCATCTTCTTCTTCTTCTTCTTCTTCATCGTATTCTCCTTCTTCTTCCTCTTCGTCGTCTTCATCATCGTCTCCCAATGGATCCGAAGGTCGAGAAGAGAAATGGCGACTTCGAGGAGGATCGATGGATTGATGTTGATAAAGTGGGAGGATGGAGTTGGAGTGAGGGTTTTTGAGGGTTAAGAGGTGAAGAGATCGAAGGGTTAGGGTTTGATATTTTATGAGAGAAGGAGGAGGAGATGAGGAGAGGAGAGATCGGAAATGGCGGGTTAGGGTTAGGGTTAGGCGTCGCTGCGACGCCATTGGGGGTGGCGATCAGAGGGGGGAAATGGAGGCGAGGGTTTTGGAGAGGTTTGGACACAACTGAGAATGGGAGATGGGGCTCGGGGCTTAATGGGCCAGGATATGTGGATCGGGCTTAAATTAATCTAAGGGCTATAATAAGAATGAAACCCATCATTTGGTGTCAAACTTACTATCATCAGTGTTATGCTGTTTTTATGTTGTTACTTTAATTATCTAGTATATAAAATCCACTTTCAGATCATTTATACGTAGCTATCAAAAGATAATTGAAAATATAATATAATATTAATAACTACAAAATATAAAATGATATTGCCGTATCATCTTTACATATCTACTTTCAATAATAATTTAATTTTGTAAGTGAAAAATGTATTTCACTTAATACATTTTTCGAATTGCAAAAAAAAAAAGTGACTTTCATACTTTCAATTCACTTGTACATTATAGAGTGAGGAGTTCATAGTCTTGGATCGCACGGTAAAATAACCTAAATAAATAAATTTTTTATAGTGGTGTTATTTCACTTTATTTCTTTACTTTTTCTCTTGATGATTTGGTCGGTAGAAAGGGGAAATTTTTTGTTAGGAAGAATAGTATGCATGGAATCATTTGTCTGTGCTTGAAACCTTAGATGATCGTCTAGATATTCAATACACCGTATCACCATATTTCATTCAACTAATTAAGATAATCCAATTCGTACCACTAATTTGACGTGACATATACTTATAATGAGCGGTTCAGTACACTTGATATACATAGTACGTAGTCTGCTCAGACAAAGAATAATAAAATCACTAAAATCCCACTCAAAGCAGCTAATAGCACCACCTCGATATTCTATTTTCTGTCCTATTTGCACATATCAACCCTATACACCCACTTATAGCAACGCTTTCCGCTTTAACCTTTTATTTTCTGTCCTATTAGCAAAGATCGTTTTTAGCTCCTTTTCATCTTTAACACCTTCACAATATACCTCACTACCAAGTCAACCAGCTACTACCTCAAAAACTCTCAAATAAGAAAACATCCCGACAAATTATTTCACAAAATGTGGGAAGAAATACTTATGTTCCTTATAAGTATAACATCACTAACAAATGAAAAATAAGTCAAACTGCCAAATAATTGGAAATGGAAAAAGGACAGAATTAAGAGATAAGACGGTTACACAATACATTCTAGAAGAGAAAGTAGGAAAAAAGTTATACTTGAAATTTGTCACTGATATCAGCTTAGGCATCTTTTAGTTTCACAAAACGAATTTAAGTGGGAAGTTTGAGATAAGATGGGTATACAACATATTCTAGGAATCTAGAAGAAAAATTAGGGAAAAGAATCGTGTTTAAGGAGCATCTTGGAAATTTTTTTAATTTTGGAAAGAAGCAATAAATCCAATAATTAATCTTTGAGAAGAAACAGATGGTAAGTAGTATTGACCTCCAATTCCTGCCATACCCGTGCAATCAACTGGTTCATAAAAACAAGCAGTCATCTTGAACAGTTATGGGTATAGACATTGGACCAATCTATTAAATCACACTTCTCAACTGTTGTAATATGCTCTTTAAGAGCAATGCAACAACAGAAAAGTGGAAGGATTGACATCTCAAACATTAGATGAGAAGATCTGCAGCAAACAAGCCGAACATAAACCAAGTCAAGTTTGCATAATGACACGCGTAAGGGCATTTACAACAAGATTATTCTACTGAATTGGGACCTTGCATAAGAACACGAAAGTTTTATCCTTTGCATACAAGCAACCTCGACAAAAGTATGTGTCAGCGTGGTGTGCACTATAACTGAATGTTTTATAGTAACAAACATTTATATCGTAATTTCATAACTAAACTTATAGTTTCCTGTTGTAATATAGCCAAATTCCCCAGACTAACAATTCCACATTACAGGTGAAAGTTGCATATACTGTAAAAATCAAAAGAACCCTAAAGTCTTCAATACGCAACACCTTACCTTGTCATTAACATCGCAAAACTTCAACCTTTCATTGAAAATCGAATCCCCGTTACTAACTTTAAACTGCTGCGAACCAATCTACAATAAACACAAACAATACAGTCCCAAAGACAAAACCTTGTAAAGTTTTAAAACCAAAAGAAAGTCAAAAGTCACAGACCTGGACAACAGCAAAAACAGGCTCCCAAGGTTTAAATGGCCGCTTTGAAGGAACAAGCGGCCCAATCACTTTATACCCGATATCAGCAGCCTCGTTAGCTTTCTCCTCCTCAGATTTCCCACTCGTTCGAAATGTCTTCACCGATCCATTGCAGCTCTCATTGCCTTCATCATCATCATCATCTTCTTCTTCTTCTTCGTATTCTCCTTCTTCTTCCTCTTCGTCGTCTTCATCATCGTCTCCCAATGCATCCGAAGGTCGAGAAGAGAAATGGAGACTTCGAGGAGTATCGATGTACTATCATCAGTGTTATGCTGTTTTTATATTGTTACTTTAATTATCTAGTATATAAAATCCACTTTCAGATCATTTATATGTAGCTATCAAAAGATAATTAAAAATATAATATAATATTAATAACTATAAAATATAAAATGATATTGCCGTATCATCTTTACATATCTACTTTCAATAATAATTTAATTTTGTAAGTAAAAAATGTATCTCACTTAATACATTTTTCCACTTGCCAAAAAAAAAATGGGACTTTCATACTTTCAATTCACTTGTACATTCTAGAGTGAGGAGTTCATTGTCTTGGATCACACGGTAAAAAAACCTAAATAAATAAATTTTTTGTAGCGGTGTTATTTGACTTTATTTCTTTACTTTTTCTCTTGATGATTTGGTCGGTAGAAAGGGGAAATTTTTTGTTAGGAAGAATAGTATGCATAGAATCACTATACGGAGTCATTTGTCTGTGCTTGAAACCTTAAATGATCGTCTAGATATTCAATACACCGTATCACCATATTTCATTCAACTAATTAAGATAATCCAATTCGTACCACTAATTTGACGTGACATATACTTATAATGAGCGGTTCAGTACACTTGATATACATAGTACGTAGTCTGCTCAGACAAAGAATAATAAAATCACTAAAATCCCACTCAAAGCAGCTAATAGCACCACCTCGATATTCTATTTTCTGTCCTATTTGCACATATCAACCCCATACACCCACTTATAGCAACGCTTTCCGCTTTAACCTTTTATTTTCTGTCCTATTAGCAAAGATCGTTTTTAGCTCCTTTTCATGCTTAACACCTTCACAATATACCTCACTGCCAAGTCAACCAGCTACTACCTCAAAAGCTCTCCCACAATATTTTATCGACTTTATGGCACCGTTTGCAGAAACAGAGACTAGCAACACTCGAGGAGGGAGTAGCGAGCCACATTACATTTTTTGGAGTTCCACTACCCGTTGTACCAATTGTACCTATTGAAGAGGTAATACTAATGATTATATTATCACAACAACCTGTAGGCTGTCTAAAAATCACAATAGATAGTTGATCCCCCATCAAACACCGATGATGGAAGTTACAATCTGACGACTTCCAGATGGTTACAATTTGAGGACTTTCACGTAGAAGGTTACAATCTGACGACCTTCACAACAACTAATGAAGGCCCCAATTCAACAGCCTTCACAATCAACATCGGGAGTTACAATCTGACGACTCTCATATTCTCAAGGAGCCAAGACGAAGATTACAAGAGGACGATCTGTGCAAAGCTCTAGCAAAAGAGACTACAAATTGACGGTCTCTTCATATTAGAATGCAGATATCTCTCAAACCGTAAGGAATTTGGCAAAACGGAGGAAGCGAACCGAAGCCTTTGGCTCGGTTTGGATGGCCCCGTCTCGTCGAGATAGCCGGTTTTCATATATAATTCGTCCAATTCCGACCTACGGTTTGAAAGTTATGACCTGTTCTTCGTAGCAAGTTGTGTTCTGAAGTCCGTCTGCAAGACTGGACTTCGTCAGAACATTGGACTTAGCCTGAAGCTCGCCAAGCCCGCCTAAGTTTCGCCTCTGCATTACAGAGTCAAAACGCCCAGGCTTAACTCTGCGTTTTCAATATCAAAACGCAGAGTTAATCTCTAAAACAGCACGAACTGTGCGTTTTCAGCCTAAAACAGGCTTAACTCTGCGTTTTCAACATCAAAAAGCAGAGTTAATCTCTAAAACAGCACAAACTGTGCGTTTTCAGCCTTTAAACAGGCACAACTCTGCGTTTTCAGCCTAAAACGCAGAGTTCATCTCTAAAAACAGCACAACTGTGCGTTTTAAGCCTTTAAACAGGCACAACTCTGTGTTTTCAGCCTAAAACGCAGAGTTCATCTCTAAAAACAGCACAAACTGTGCGTTTTCAGCCTTTAAACAGGTCAACTGTGCGTTTTCAGGCCAACTGTGCGTTTATGGGCTCAACTGTGCGTTTTTAGCCTGAAACAGGCCAACTGTGCGTTTTACGGCCCAACTGTGCGTTTACAGCACGAATTGTGTGTTTTCAGGCCAACTGTGCGTTTATGGGCTCAACTGTGCGTTTTCAGCCTTTAAACGGCCCAACTGTGCGTTTACAGCACGAATTGTGCGTTTTCAGCCTAAAACATTCTAACTCTGCGTCTCAGAGTTCATCACGCTGCGCGGCCAGTGCGTTCAGCCACCAGAATAGGCCCAACTCTGCGTTTTTAGTCTAAAAACACAGAGTTCGGGCCCTGAACGCTTTTTTTCAGCGTTTGACTCGTTCAAAGCACGTAATGAACAGTTCCAGGAACTGTTTTTCCCCACGATTTGAGGGATTTTCGCCCCACTTAAGAGTGGATTAAGGGGGGGCAGTTACCACCCGTAATCCCCTATAAATAGGGGGAAACTCAACTGAGTTCGGGTTGGAGGTTGGAGAGGGCTTTTTGGCTTTTTGGCTCTGGGCTCTGGGATCCTTCTTTTTGGGCAGCAAAGGAGAGATCTTCGGCTAACTTTGGAAGGGAATTGTTGGAGTTTTGGAGACCAGCAACAGGAGCTTCTTCCTTGGCTTATTAACCGAACTTTCGGTTCAAATCAACTCTTTTTCAAGAGTTCAAACTCGTTCAGAGTTATCAACTCGATCAGAGTTCAAAACTTGCTCTGCAAGTTCTTCCAAAACTCGTCAGAGTTATCAACTCGATCAGAGTTCAAAACTTACTCTACGAGTTCTTCTAAAACTCGTTCAGAGTTATCAACTTGTCAAGAGTTATTTCAAAACTTGCCACGCAAGTTCTCCACAGCGTCAAATCGTGAGGAGAAGACATCGTTCCAGTGAATCAAGACGTTCGGATCGTCAACGGAGAGCAAACTCGACGCGAGCATTCGAGGGAGGCACTCCATCGCCACCGTGAAGAACCCAGTTTTAAACAAAGGGGAGAATCAAATTCATTCTCCTCTCTTTTGTAATCGGAATCCAAATTGTAATTGATTTTGAGAGGAATACAAGTCAAATTTTTCTTTCTTTATCTTTTTGCATCAAATTTCCTACAAACACAACCATTTGTTGATAGAGACACAGAGCAGAAGACTTGGCTCTGTAAGAATAAGAAAGATGTAGGACACTGAGAACACCATAGCGCAGGGCACATTGGATTCATATGCAGCTTATAAATAAAAAGGAATATGTGAAAATACCTTAACGTAGACTCTGTATCAAACCAGAGGTTAAATATATTCAGCACAGAGGATATCACCGGAGAATAGCAGCAAAGGATAGCTACGATTTCAGATTTTCGTCGGGACAATGAATATTACTTATTTAGGAAAATTTTGTTTACTTTTTTGACAAGCAGTTAGAGCTAGTTTGCTTAAAACGGTGAGATATGACTATAGTTAATTACGAAATCAAGACTAGCATGATGGCAATGTTAAGGGCAAGAGGCCTATTATGGGATCTAGAGTACCCCAACAGCGGGGTAAGGGTTTTTACTATCAGCAATAAAGACATTACAAGAAGATAGCAAACATGATTTGATAACACCGCAGCAGCGCATGATTCGGGACACATGATACAATTATAACAAGATCGGACATAGAGCGAAGAATTATCACAGTACACTAGCAGGAGACCAGCATAACAGTGGTCAGGGTTAATAATCTTAGGGTAGTAGTTACGGCCAGCATCGGAGGATAGATGTGCTACCGGTTATTCCGAGGATTTAGGAGCCTATAGGCCAGAATTGCGCTATTTAGACTATTCATCAGTGTCAGATGGACCCATGTGTTTCACCGCCAGTAGCGCAGCAGATGTCGGCCACCAGCAGAGTTTATGTAGTCGTGCCACGTGATCATAGTGCGAGCAGAGTTTTCGTAGTAATTTCTTATCCAGCTTGAATCTTGTTTGATTCAAGAACTTTGTATTCTTTCATATCTCATGCCTTCATATATAGGCTTCAGTTAGTTACTCATCCCTTAGATGTTCTGTTATCAGTTTCTACTCCTTTAGGGGAGGTGTCCCTATTAGAGAGTATATTTAAGAGATGTGCCATCAATATAGATGATTTTGAGTCCATCTTTGACATGGTTGTCTTGTGGATGTCGAATTTTGACATCATTCTTAGTATGAAATAGTTATCATCCTATAATAGTAGTATCGACTGTTTTGCTAAAATAGTACGCTTGTGAGCATTCATTGGGATTGTATAGATAGTAGCAACCTCATAGGATAACCAGAATGCGGAGTCATTTCTGGAATACGTCAAAGAGGTGATGATACGGGATCGGGGTGCAGTTTTGAGTGAGACCGGAGTTGTCTCAGAGTATCTGGATATCGTTCAGGACATACCTATGTTTTCTCCAGTGAGAGAGGTTGTTTCCCTGCATCGATTTGCAGCAGGCACCGTACCGATATTCCGAACACCTTACCATATCATATGGCAACCGCTGAGATGAAGGAGCTGCAGACTCAGCTAGATGAGTTATTATCACAGAGTTTTTTATCTGGAGTCTTTTTTTTGGGAGCACCGATCTTCTTCGTGGGGAAGAAGGACTATAGCATGTGATTGTGTATCGATTATCATGAGTTGAACAAGGTCATTTTCCGGATCACGAATCCACTATCGAGGATTTATGACTTATTTGACTAGCTGCAGGGAGCGCAGCATTTCTCGAAGATTGATCTTCATTCTAGTTATTTCCAGTTGCGATTGTGGTAAATGGATATTCCTAAAACCACATTTTCTGACTCGATATGGGTCTTTTGAGGTCTTGTCATGCTATTTGGGCTGATTAATGCACCCACAGTATTCATGGATTTGATAAACTGGGTTTTTCGTCCATGTTAGGACCAGTTCGTAGTCATTTTATTAACGACATCATTATTTTTTCAAGATCGGAGTCAGAGCGCGAGCGGCATCCTCTATTAGCATTGCGGGGATAGCGGACAGTCGAGATTAGAGGCATTAGTGATACACAGAGTTCAGCAAATATGAGTTTTGGCTATAAGAGATCAGATTTTTAGGCCATGTCATCAGTAGGTGGGGCATAACAATGGATGCAGCCATTGTTGAGGCTGTAATAGATTGGGAGCCACTAAGAACCATTACAGGGGTTCGTAATTTTAGTATGGTATGAGAGAAAGTTCATTCAGGACTTTTTGAAGATTGTGATACCACTTACACACCATACAAAGAAGGGTGTATAGTTTGCTTTGGGCATGGGGTGCCAGGAAGCCTTTAAGACTATTAAGGCTAGATAGACTACAATAACAATTTTGACTGTTCTAAACAGTGATACGACATTTGTCATTTATGTGGACACATCATTAGGTGATACGACATTTGTCATTTATGTGGACACATCATTAGCAGGACTACGAGGTGTTTTGATGCAGACCCAGAGGGTATGGCTTATTTCGTGACAGTTTAGGCACATCGTAACAGATATACAGTACATCCATGCACAAGAAAAATGTACAAGGATCTGAAGAGGTATTTTTG